CGGCAGAATTGACGTGATCGCGTTGGCGGGGACGGTGAAAAAGAGTCAGACGGTCCCAAAGGACGGAAGGGGCGGCGCCCAGCCTGGCACACGTACAAAGGGGGAAGTCTGAGTTTAAGGGGAGGGCCAGAGCCCGGGACAGCCATCCCGCTTTTAGCTGGCCGGATGACTAAAATTAAACCGCGTAAGCTTCATGTGGCATCTGCGATACACTGCAGGGTGGTTCCACCGCCGCCACACCCCACCCCGGCACCAGAAAGAGAATAACACGGTCACGGTCCTTGGTCCCTCCTGGTCGGCGTGTCTGTGCAGTGCAGCCTCTGGAGCCTCGCGCCCCGCCGCAGCTTGTGGTGGGGAAGGGGAGATCGGGTGAGAGCGAGGTTGATGACAAATATTTTCAGGTGTCTTTAGTATTTTAAAATATTTCCAGTCTAATATTTGGTGCATATAATATATTGAATATATGTTTTAAAGCACATTAAAAAAACGGAAATCTGTGACTCCACCAGGCTACCAATTTAACCACATATCCATGCCCCTCTGGGGTTCTGCTCCCTTCAACCATTGTGCTCAGTTTTGTCTATCTCCTTGCCGTGTTTAGTTTTGTCGTAGATGGATACATTCTTACATGATCCATTATTTCATTTTTTTTTTTGCGCTTTAAAACAATATGTATACGGCCCTGTGGGCTTTGCTTTTATTGTTCGACATTTTTTTCTTTGATTCATCTAAGTGTGAGCTGGTCGAACATTTCCCTGCTCTGATAAATACCCTGGGTCTGTCAAGTGGTTTGTGTACAGTTGTCGATCCATTTTTCCTGTGGACACTTGAGTTGCTGCCAGTATTTTGTCATCAGAGGCGAATTTACCGTGACGCTAATGAAATTTGAGCTTCAGGACTCCCCGTGGGTGTCTTGGAAATGTGGTCACATAGTCATATTTCTGTGAACTGCAAAAGAGAGATTTACACCGCACGCACTAGGACCACTTTGTTTCCACTCCTCCAGCACTTCTGGAGCTGGGTGGCGATGGGTGGCTGCAGGCATTTGGGGACTGAGCCAAGGAATTTAAGCCCAGGTCTGTCTCCTAAAGCAGCGGTCCACAACCCCTGGGCCATGGACCAGTAGCCGTCCGTGGCCTGTTAGGAACCGGGCCGCATGGCAGGAGGTGAGCGAGCGAAGCTCCATCTGCATCTGCAGCCGCCCCCAGCGCCAGCATCACTGCCTCAGCTCCGCCTCAGATCCTCAGGCGTTAGATGCTCATAGGAGCACCGGTCCCTGGTGCCGAGAAGTTTGGGGACCGCTGTCCTAAAGCCACTCGATTATGCTCCCAAGTTCGTTACGTGAGATCTAAAACCATGTCCCTTTAAAGTTCGATCCAGGGACCTGGTTCTAAGCTCCGTTTTCGGTGTTCCCAGCATGCCCCAGGGTTCAGGGGCCTCGGCGTTCACTCTGGTGACGCGCTCCGACTTCCACCATTTTCTCGCAGAAGCTTTGGACCTTTGCCCTCGGCGTTCATAGCCACTTTTGGCAAACCCATTAGTCTTCGCAGGCGGGATGCTCGCCTCTTGACGCCCAGCCTCGTGCGTTCCCGCACCAACGTGCAGGTGCAGTGGGGGTGCTGGGGGCGCGAGCTTGTATCACCAAGCCCGCACTTTCTGGGGCTGATAAGTCCACACGGCGCTCACATGTGCCTCTGCCCTGCCGTGTGCACTTTCATGACGAGCTCAGATTCAGATTTCTGTTAGATCTCATCAGGCTTCTTCCCGAGTCTTCCCGATGTGGTTTGACGATGGCCTTTGAACGGTGGGGCCTCAGGAAGGCTTACCTGTCGTGGGTCACACAGAAAGCACAGGTGGCATTACTAAAGCATTCCTACCATGCATGATGCTGTGTGGCAGGGAGGGACAGGAAAGTGTCCAGGTGACTCAGACGGGAGGTGTGGAATGCATGCGCCCTACGTGACCATTCTAGGCTTTGCCTTACGCCGCGTCGTGGAGCAGGAAATGCTGCATTAACGTGAGCTGACCTGGCTGTTATTCTCTTGTGCTGCCAGGACATGTGTAGGAACAATGACGCTGTCATTCCTTCATCCTAGGAGACTCGATTTTCACACCCCTTAGTTCATACCTACTCCTTACTCTTAATAGGTAAGGCTTGGAACACCGGTATGAATGTGCATCACGGTGAAGGCGGGAAAGCCGGGCCGACAGCATTCAGCTGCCGCCAATTTTGTTGTCACTTACATCACAATGAACCAAACCACAACTGGAACCCTATTTTGTGCCTTTGGTAACTTTTCCTGACGAGTATTGTGACAAAGTCTTCAAATTCTAAAAACTGAATTATTTGCTCATTCAGCAGATGTACGGGTCTACCGCGTGGCAGGCTGGGAAGATGACGAACGACAAGGACAGTCTCCACCCTCAGCCGAGCGTCCAGGGGCGAGACGGCACGTAGTAAATGCTGTGATGGGGAAGGACAGGTTGTCATAGGAATGTGTAGGACGGGGACAGAAACCAGACGGGTCAGGGAGAGCTTTCCAGAGGAAGCAACATCTAAACCGAGATCCGAAGGCCGAACAGGAACTGGGACCATTAAAACAGGAAAGCAGGGAGGAGGGAAGGGGCCAGCATGAGAGCAGGGCGCATCCAGGGGAAGGAAGGAAGTCGGGTCTTAGTCTGTTGAGGTGAAGCTGTGCTGAAGTAACGACCACAAATCTCTGGCATAGCTACCGAAGGGCTATTTCTCATCTGGGCTGCGTGGGTGCAGGGGTGCTATAATATGGAGAAAAGATCATAGGGGTAAAAAGTGAGGTAGGAAGCTGAGAAGTAATTCAGGCTGGAGAAGAGGGTGGCCTGAACTGGGGTAGTGGCAGTGGGGTGCAGAGAAGTGGACAGAGTCAGGACAAACGCAGGAAGTAGTCGATAGCTCCTCCTGATTGATCGGACATGGAGTGTGAAAGGCGTCATGGTTGACACTCCAGCCCAGGATATACTATGTAGCTTTATATAAACCAAAAGGGCAGAGATGTCATTGGAACTTACAGAGATGTCATCGTGACAGTGAAGCTTCTGAGATGCCAAATCGGGAGATGCCTTGGTAAGATGAAGTCTATTTTACAACTTTACATTCATCCTAAAACTAGAGCTTACAAAGATGTCATTGGATGGTTAAGCGAGAGACTGGCACTGAGCTGTCGCGTCTACTTGCGTAAACCTCAGCAAAGGGAGCACATACGGGTTTCACGGGAGTCAGCCTTGCAAGGCCGTCACGCGCTCAAGACGCCACGTAAGAGCTATGGCCATTGGAACATCCAGAAACCTGATGCCGATATGCATTCATTTCCCACAGGAAAATGAAGCCAGATCCCTACCTCACCCCGTACACGAAAATTAACTCCAGATGGCTGCACTCGAATGTGAGAGCTGAAATTTAGAAGTCTTAGAAGAAAACAGGCATTACTTTCATGACCTTGGGTTAGGCAAAACCTTCCTAGATACATCAAAAGCACAAGAGGCAAAAGACAAAATAGATCAATTTAAAACTTTGATGCTAGCAATGATACCACCAAGAAAAAGAGAAGAAAGCCCAGAGAGTGAGAGAAATGGCTGGTGATTCATATGTATGATACGGGACTAGTGTCCAGATTATATAAAGTCTCACGACTCAACAATGAAAAGAAAAATCACAATTTTTAAAAGGGCAAAAGATATGAATAGATGTTTCTCCACAGAAGACATACAAATGGCCAAAAAACACATGTAAAAATGCCGAGTATCAGTAGTTATTCGGGAAATGCAAATGAAAACCACGATGAGATGTCACTTTACACCAACTACAATAGCTGTTGGAAAGGCGAGGGTGGGGAGGAGCTGAGACTTTCGTCCACTGCCAGTGGCAATGGCCCACAGCCACTTCGGGACTCAGTCTCAGAGGATTACTGTGCGACGCAGAAACCCCACTCCTGGCTTCCCAGAGACCTGAAGACAGGTGTTCAAACAAAAGCCTCCACGTGAGTACTCACGGCAGCGTTTTTTGTGACAGCAAGTGGGAATCGGGCCGTGTCCATGAGGAGTGGATGAACTAAGTGGGGTCCGGCCGCACGGTGGAATATTATTTGGCAATGAACAGTTAAGTGCTGGCACACACCACAACATGAATCTTGAAAACAGTAAGCGAAGTGAAAGGCCAGTCACGGGAGCCCACATGTTGTGATTCTGTTTATGGCGCATGAAATGCCCAGAATAGGCAGATCTATAGAGACGACATTAGTGCTTGTCCAGGGCTGAGTGGGGGATGGGGGGGAGGAAAAACGGGGAGCGACTGCCAATGGGTCTCTTTTCGGGGTGATGAAATGTTCTAAAATTACATTGTGGTGATGGTTGTACAACCCAGTAAACATACTAAAAATGCCGTACACTTTAAACGGGTGAACTGTGTGATATGTGGATCTCAGGAAGCTTTCAGAGGAGCCAGTTCTGGACGGCGGGCTTATGGCGATTTTTATCTCTTTGTTCATCTGTATCTTCTACAGGGACAGTGTTTGCAGTTCAAAAAAAAAAAAAAAGGAACGAAGTTACTGGTTTAAATGGTGAATCTCGACAAGGTGACGTCTTAGAAGTAAGCGTAGCGGCCCCCGGGTCTCAGCCCGGTCTTCGGTGGCGTGTGTCCCAGTGAGAAGGAAGCTGCCCCTCGTCCCATGCCACTTCCTGCATCTCTTATTGTTCTCCGCTGTAAAATACAGGAAGTGTTTTTTATTTTTTTTTTTATCCTTCAAATAATGAAATCTGTGGGTGTTCCTCTTTTTTCATTTTCTGTGGTGATTCATTTCAGGCTGACTCTTTCCGTTTTTGACTTTTCATTGTTTGCTGCCTCTCCAGAACGTTCTGCACTTTAAGGTCTGGATTTGCGTGGTAGCGCGTTCAGTGCGGTTTCCCGAATCGAGTTTAGTCCTGTCATCCACTCTAGCAGATCGCATCCTGCTCCTTCTCTGTCCCCGTGGCTTTTTCATTTTCTGTGGTGATTCATTTCAGGCTGACTCTTCCCGTTTTTGACTTTTCATTGTTTGCTGCCTCTCCAGAACGTTCTGCACTTTAAGGTCTGGATTTGCGTGGTAGCGCGTTCAGTGCGGTTTCCCGAATCGAGTTTAGTCCTGTCATCCACTCTAGCAGATCGCATCCTGCTCCTTCTCTGCCCCTGTGGCCAGTCCTCATTCAGTTACATGACCCCCAGCAGCGACACATATAAGCGGCAATGAATGCACGTTGCAAAAAAAAAATCTTACATTTCAGTGTGCCAGTATGATACCGTCCTGTGGGAATTAAAATGATTGCGTTAGAGTATAAATAGTCTCAAAGATTACATAAAAATATTTTTAAAGAATTAGGGACTTTCTCTCTATGATGGCAGAGCCTGTCAACGTGTTGATTAGTTACGTCATTGCAGGTGGGTGCGTCAATCACTATCAGATGATAAGTGGGCTTGAGGAAGGCCAGGTTCCCGTAAGTGGGCAGGTATCAGTTTGTATGTCTATAATTTCTTGATGTGACTGGGGAAACCCACCCATTTGGCCTCAGAAGTTCTGAGAGTTGAGAGAAGTCATAATCTTTGAGGCACCAACTTATAATTCTAAAAACATATAAGTAAAAAGAATCCAATAACGATCTGTCTTTCCTGTACCGACTATACCTGCATGTAACCTTTAGTTATAGAGAGATTCTAGCTAATGAGCGAAGCAGGCGTAATCGAATTAGAATATCACAGTGTTACAACCTGTAATGAAATAACAGGTATAAGCAAAGATCATACTTTCAGCCTGAAAGTATTAGGTGAATAACTGACGGGGAGCTCTGCGCTGGATGGTTGGGCCTGGCAATGCCTGAACCCACTGATCGATCTCAGCCACGCTGGAAGAGACAGTCAGGCATTTGGTACCTCCTGATGGACGCGCACAAAACCACTTACCAATCAACCATTTATTCATGCCGAAAAAATTAAACCTAAATCCGATGGAGCCTCTCAACGTACCAACTTACAGAAAACGTACGAGCCGGAGCAGTGTCTTATACGACAACCCTGAGCTGCCATCAGCAGAATTCAGACCACGGCAAAACTCACTGCATTCCGAGGACCAGGAAGAGAATGAAGCATAGGAGCCCGGAGTTTACACGAGACACATAAACTAAACGGACGTGTGATCCTTATTTGGCTCTCGATTTAAACAAACCGAATGTAAAAATTTCAAGAACTGCCAAGAGGGCTCGCCCTACCGAAGGCGAAACGCAGACGGCAAACCCCACCTTCTCTCTCCGACCGGCCGGCGGGAGCCCCCATGCGGGGCCTGCCCTGTGGTTAAACCTCCCTGCCTTGAGCTGAACGCGCCTAAAAGTCAGCACAGAAAACCTCATCCACTCCTGGTTCTCAAACCGAACTGAGTTTGAGAACACACTTCCCGAGGGGAGGCATCAGCGAAGGACCTAAGGCTTGAAGATGAAAAATTTTTTTAAGTCCTCGGAAAAGAGGAGATAATACAAAGAAAGGGAACACTCAAAGCCAACGTCGGCTACTCCACGCACTTTCTGAGCTCGCTGGCCTTGACACGTTTGGTTCGTCGGGGTCAGCGCCAGGAAATGTGCTGGTAAAGGTGACTGTAGCAAACCTGGATCCGATGGTGACGTCGGGGGTCTTTGCTGTGTCTTTGGAATTTTTTTCCTGCATGTTTTAATAGGAGTGACTAAAAGTTTAGAAGACTCAGTATTTCCAACTGAATAATGAAGCCATTTTGTGCAATTCTGACCCCAAAGCAGCAAGACAGCCTCCTGGCCTCCCGGATCCATTCGCTGCTTTTCAAATTAATGTGATTCTTCAAATCCAATTAGGGGTGAAGGACAGAAGCCCCTTTGACAACATCCCTCTCTGTCGAGACACCTGCGATCACAGGACATCTCCGCCGTGTGCCGTACCTGGCCAGGCGCGAAGGTCGTGAGATTTTTACTGCTGCTGCACAAGGAGCAGGCCCGCCCCTTCCCTCACTTCTGTCCCTGAAGACGAGCTTTCTCATCCCGAGTCAGTGATCCTCACCTGGAGACTGGGGAGTGTGAGGGGCAGAAGGAGGGGACAGCCCCACACTGGGCATCGCCAGCCCCCTGCAGCTGGAAGGCTAGTAGTTTGGAAGGGCAGCGCGGGCTTTTCCTGCCGTGATGCTCCGTCGTGGTTAAAAAGAGAGAACACGTGCGAAAATGTTTTCAAAATTGTCTTAAAACTGCTACCTCGTCTTCTCTTCCCTGGTTAAATATTTCTTGCTCTTGAAATATTGGTAATATATGTTGATATACATTTTAAATATAATATGTAACTATATTTTGTAATATGTATAACATGTAATAAAGTATGTATTATAATAATAAATAAATGTTATACGTTATATTTAAAACTATACATGAACATAAAAGAGCAGCCTCGCCCACCTTCCCTCTTAGGACGCGACCCGGGACCGGCTGGCGTCACTGCCACCGACAGCTCGCTGGTCAGAGCTTTGCCACGTGGCTCCACAGAGCAGTCGCTCTTCCTGACATGACAGTTCCAGAACCTGAAGGCCTAGTTCTTTTACAGGCTTCGAGAATCCTTTCTCATGCATTACCAAGCAACTCACGTTACTGTAAATTTAGGAGCTCAGAAATTCGGCCACGATCAAGAATTCCGCCTAAACCTTCCTGGAATGAGGTGGACGCATCCATACATTTTATGGAGCCATGTCTGTCTCTTTTTAGTGAATCGGTAATTCAGAGTAAGAGAGGACCGAATGTGACACAGAGCTAATCGGATGTCATCCAAGTCCCTTACGAAGCGTCTCCCAGAGAAAATGCCGAAGGACAGTTTTATGGATTCCCGCGTTGTCCCTAATGACAGCAACGTAATAAGAAACATACTCCGTGTCATCTGTTTGGGAAAGTCCCCTCTGATCAGCGGGCTGGTGCTGGTGTTCAGTGACACGCGTGAAGCCCCACGCTCTAGTGTGCCAGAGAAACGGACACGGGCGGAGGGGACCTGGGGGTCCCCCAGCTCACGTCCTTGACGGAATGACTGCATCGGACGTATCCCAGGGGCGAGGGGTCTGTCTCGTTTTAAAGACTGGCAGAGGAAAGCATTCCTTTCCTTTTGGGTGACCCATGTCAGCGCCATAACAAGCCTCACAAGGATCGAATCGACCAGGTTTTATCCAAATGCTTTGGCTGCAGTAATTCTGTTCTTAGTGGAAACAGAAAGCTGCCTACAAGTGTCATCAGCGTGACAGCCCTTCGTATGTTTGGACACCATAATTAAAAGCTGTTCTGTATGCCGAATGTGTTACCTCCTTTAACCCAGTCATCTCACCTGGGGGCGATTTTACTCCCGGGGAAAATGTCTGCAGACTTGGTTGTCACAACTTGGGCGGGGGTGAGGAGGGGGAGTCTATTGGAATGTTGCGGGGAGAGGCCGGGCATGGGGCCCCACACCCTGCAATGCACAGGACAGATACACACACACGTGCACACAGGGCAGAAGACTGTCTCCCTCTGTCCCCAGCTCCTGTCCTGCCCACAGTGAGGAAAACATCACATCAGCTGTTTGACTCACCCTCCAGGTCCCTCCCACCTACTGAGTGGCCCCAGCAGATGGAGCTGGAATGAGGTGGAGGGTGTGACAGACAGTAAGCAGCCATCTTACCCCTGCACACATGTTGAAATTCATTATTTTTTCTTACTCGTCCAGCCCATCTTTCGTGCTGAGTGGATAATGTGCCAACAGAGTCTCTGTGAGTCATCTAAATGTGAAAACACACTTGGAACCAAGATTTCAGGGAACGCAGCGTGTTCCTCGCGGAGCTCCAACCAACCAAGTGGCTTTCTGTGACGCTCCAGGTCTCTGGTGTGGACATTTGTGTGCAGAACCGAGCATGACGCAGGAAGGTCGAACCTGGCAGGGAAACTCAGCGAACGGCAGACTCGCTGGCGTGGAAGGAGCGGTTCTGTGATCATTACGCGAACCTCAGCCTCTTTCTTCTTTTTTTTTTTGACCCTCTGGAAAGCTGTAATTTGAATTTAAGAGCAGTAGTTAGGAGAAAATGCTAATCAAAATCAGAAAACCCACGTATTAACCCCCGTCACGAGTGAGCACGATGGAGGGCAGGCCCAGCTTTCGCCCCCCGCAGCGGAAGTGCGGTCCCCTGAACTGGCATCAGCCCCTCGTGTGCCCCAAATTTCCTCCCACAGTTCTCGGCTTTTCCCAGATCACCTCCCCTCCTCGCTGTGGCTAGCCTAGTTTCCCTTCTAGAACCCTCCCCCCGCTTTTTAAGCCTATAAGGGGTCTACTCCCACTATTTTTGGAGAAGGCACACAGCTTTTCCAAGTTTAGCTCCACGATATTGAGAAACGGGGTTAAAAATAAACATTGGAAAAGGTACAAAAGTTTGAGAAATCCACCCAAAGTCATCTTAAGCACGCGTCCTGAGGCCACAGGGGAATGTCCCCGGAGGGGGCCCGACTCGGCCCCTCTGTCCGGCTGCTGCTGTCCAGAGAGCAAGAGCAGATCCCAGGGGCCTGGGACTCTTCCCCTCCGCTGGCCGCAGCTCGGGGGGACCGTCACCGCCCTCCTTCTCCACTGGCCGACAGTCCGCTGGGACTTCGGGTGTGCCCAGAAACCACCCAGACACACGGAACCCTGCCGTGGGTCGTCCCTGTCCCCCAAGAAGTTCTGTCTGTCATCGCCACACAGGACATGTCCCTTTCGGCTACTCCTCGGCCAGCGCCACATGCTGAAGGGACCACGCAGCATCGGATTGTTCACATGAGCTCCCCAGAAAGGAACAGGGAAGTGGGGCCACTTAGATGCCAAGTGGGTTTCATTTCACTGTAGAATCTTGATGCCTCACGTCTCCTGAACACCTTGATCTCAAATAGGGAGACCGAGCCCCAGATGTGATCACTGGCCTGTGCCTCAGTGCAGAGCTGGAAAGAGGGGCGGTCCCCCGACTCCCTGAGGCAGTGAGCCTCCCACTTCACCTGTCCCTCGCCTACCCCCCGCCCCACCTGCCAGGAGAGGTGCTAGGTGGGAGTGGGGCGTGGCAGGGAAGCGAAGGGCAGAAAAACTGAAAAATGGTGACACGGGGAGTTAACCTTTTATGCCGCTGTGGTTTTCGAAGCGAAGGGCAGAAAAACTGAAAAATGGTGACACAGAGGGAGTTAACCTTTTATGCCTCTGGTTTTCCTGTGCGTGTGTGTGTGTGTGTGCGTGTGTGTGTGCGTGCGTGTGTGTGTGTGCGTGTGCGCGCGCGTGTGCGTGTGCGTGTGTGCGTGTGCGTGTGTGTGCGCGCGCGCGCGTGCAAGACTCATGGGGCCTGTTTCTTCTGTTTTAGGAGTACGTTGCCAGTAGTACGTTCTCTGTGGCACTCGTTAGAGTCCAGGAGAAAAAAGCATCGAAGAGGAATCTTCTCTAATTAGGTCCTAAGGTAAAAACCCACAAAGGAGAAGATGACCTATCCTTGGCTCCATCATAATGACTGTGATTTCCATTTTTTTCTTTTTTTTAAGTGAATTAGATCAAATTTAAACACTGGACCGTTTTTTTTAATAGATGTTGGTTTTTCTACTTAGGAGGTGCTTGTGTGCTTTAAGACAGAACATGAAATTAAAGAAAACAAACAAGCAGCAAACTGGTTGTGTGACACACTGAGCTTGAAGTTTCTTAGTTTAGCTGACCTATAAAAGCGCACTGTTACCTAACGAAATACATGTGCCAAAACAATCTTTGGTCTACCAGAAGTCCAATGAATGGGAAGACGCCAGGTACATTTTAATATGTTTCTTTCCACGCCTTTGAGTCTTCTAGATGAACTTCACCAACAGCTCCAGCAACCTTATGTTTAGCTGGTGACAGACTGGAACATTAAGTGGCTGACAAGGCTCGTGAATGGTGCTTTGTCTGTGCCCTGGGCTGCAGGGAGGGTGCTGTCCTGCCCCCCACTTGCCATTTCAGCCTCCCTTTGCTGAGATCTGTAACTTGGCTGGAACGCTATATTCGCCGGCAACTTTCGGGCAAGGGATTTTTTTTATTTTTTATTTTTTTATAAATTCTGAAAACACACACACCAAGTAAAACAAACCAAGCATTTTATGCAGAGCTGGACTCTCTCCTTTCTCAAGTTGCGATCTCACTTTTTACTTTAAGATGTTTTGGGAAAGGATGCAATTAGGAACGTGGGTATTTTGGTAAGATTTCTGATTGAAAACCAATCATACTCCTGGCAAGACTTTTTCCATCACGTAGCTATAATTCCATTTGGAATCTAGGGAAAAACTAAGACGTGGGCTTGGAAAACATTGGGTAATTTGTTTTCTTTTAGAGAATGTCCTCTAAGAAAAAGTGCCTGGGATTTTACTGAATCAGTTAAAAAACATCTAGTATAAAATCCGTATAATGCTGTTCATATACAATAATGTATGTATATACTTTTATAAGGAATACAAAGTAATTTTTAAAAAGTTCCATGAAACTGTGAGTAACCACGGGAGTGTCACCAAATTCAAGGGTCGAACAAGGCCACTGAGGTCACTGGGGCCATCGTTCCTCCAGGCAGGACTGTCCCCGTCATTGTTTCATTCGGCATTTTCTGCAGCCCCCCGGAATGTCTGAAGCAACACAACACAGTCCTTTGAATGACAGCTGTCACTCCGGCGCTTCCTCAGTCGGAGCAATGCTCGGTGGAGACCATTTTCTAAATTGAACGCTGCTTCTGATTTTCATTAGGGGATTTAAAGTTAAGGCAGTGACACTCTTTGCTAATGCTGGGATTCTGTTCTGGGATGGGTCTTAGTATGCAACTTATAGGCTAAGCATCGGGGCCAACATTTACTGTAGACTCCTGCTATAGGCCCCATATACCAAATAATTTTTTGAGGTTTTATTACTTTATCACATACAATGATTCCATAAAATGGTGTACTATCCATGTAGACTTTCGACTGAAAGTGTCTGGTGGAAAAGAGTTTATTGCTTTTTTTTCTTTCTTTCTCATTCCACCTTTCATTCTGAATAGCCTAAAAGTAAAACATTTCTCACGTGGCAAAAATCATGTTCTGAGTTATCGAAGTTCCATAAAGAATATCATTTTACATGCCACAAGCTCTTGCCTTTTCAAATTCTCAACGTCAAGCTGTAATTTTCCTCTTCTAGATTTATCCAGGGCCTTTAAATTAAGAACTTGAGAAGCCAAACAGGAAGTTACATTTCTCTGAACTAGAAAATTAGGAGGAAGATGGGGGAACGGACGAGAAAACTAAGCCAGGAGGAGGAAGCCACCATATTTTGCTTCTGTTAATCAAAACCCTACTTTCAAATTCCTGCTCATGTCCTGACCAAAAGATCGCTCGTCACCAAGAGCAGTCTATCCTCAGCTGTCCTCAGTCACAATGTAAGGGACAACCGCGTTCACAGTCCATTTAAAAGAGTGCGTGAGTTTAAGCACAGCTCCTAACTGGTGCTTTAAAGAAAAACTTGATTTCTATTTTTAGTGACTAAAAAAGGAGGAAAATTAGCCCAAATCCCATGACTTGTTGGAATACCAACGTATCTGAAACTACAATAATAACTGTTTCCATAACAAATATGATACAAAAATAACAGATTTTGCTCTGTTTTTCTGAACACTATTTGAAGCCAGTTTGGTTTAAGAAGCTGAGCCGGGCCACTCGCTCGGTTTAGCTAATTAGAGCAGCAGCCTCTAGACCTGGGGGTTTCACGGAGCAGCCTGGGATCGTGCATGCATGAATAAATGAATAAATGAATAAATGAATAAACCGGAAAGGGATGCACACACGGTTATCAGCTTCTCATCTGACCAAGTGAGGACACATAAAAGCTCGACCATCATCAATATTCGCTATCATTTCATGAGAAAGGACATTTTAATGACAACAACAAAAAGAACTGAGAAGGGAATAATCTCATAATAAAAAATAGTCCTTCAGAGGAAGAAAAATTCATTTTACGGAAAAAAAAAAATTACTACATTTTTTTCAGTATAAAGTCTAAGAAAACACACCAGACTAGTATTTAGGAACCACTGGGAGCCGCCTGGTATAGCATACGGGGCCACATCCCCATTTTAGCTACTTAAGGTATATCGATCTGTCTCTTGGCCCTACAACGTTAATGTGTGTATTTTCTGTTATCTCTTAATTCACCGATTCTTTCATCTAGTCAACAAATACTTCCCGTGGTCTATTATCTGTTAGGCACTGATGGAGATTATGAAGCAGCGTAAGACGGGTCTTCTCTTAGGATGCACAGAGAGAGTCCTAATTCACGACGAAACCTAAGAGCACACGGATCGATCACGGGAGCCAGGGTGGGGCAGGGCAGGCTTCGTGGAAGCGGAGGCGTTTGATGTAGATAGTGCAAGAAGGTTTGAGTCGCTCGTGTTGGCCTGGTGGAGGGCACTGTGAAGGAGGCTAAGGAAATTATCCGGACTCCGAGGCCTTGGGCAGGATAAAACACAGCCGCAGCCTTGGGCGTCATTTGGCTCAGTGGGTGCTGGAGAATACCCGGGAAGTGTGACTGTCAACACAGGCGGCTTCACAGAGGACCTCCGAAGTCCAGGCAATGTCCAGACGACCTCGGTGACGAGGCGTCGCCCCAGCAGGCGAGGGGGATGGGAAGCTCCCCGACCTTGAAATCAGAGTCCGCGGTTTTGAGAGTCAGCGCTGTTCTTCCCAAGAAACCCTGAGGAATTCTTAATCTCTCCGCGGCTCCATTTTCCATCTGTCAGGGGAGATTAATGCCCTTGTTACCTGCTACTTAATGATCGAATGACGTCGGCTGCAGATGTGAAGGGCCTAGTACGGTATCGGATGCATGGCCTGAAGTCACTGAGTGTGCTGACTGTGGATATCTGCTGGAGCCTCAGAATTCAGGTTTAGCAAGAGGATCGTGTTTAGCTGCAGGGTCAAAAGGAGAGAGCCTGAGCAGGAGCGGCTGGGGGGGGGAGTGAGAAATTCGTGGGGGCGGGAAAGGGTGAATGGAGGGAGCGCTATCTGGCCCCCTGGCCCGGCTGGGTGAGAGAGGCCGGCTGAAGGCTGATGACACGGTTCAAGCCCCGGGCGGTGCCATCAGCAGAAGTGGGGAGAAGCCAGTGAGAGGAAAGCGAGGCCAGTCTGTTTTCAGCCGTGTTGACCTGCGGCCTGGGGCTGGACCTGCCCGCGAGGCCCAGCGGGTTGCGGGAAGGTCCTCAGGACAGGGCTCAGAGCTGAGCTCCAGGTGAGGGCGTCACCTGTATGGGGTGAGAGTCAAGCCACAGGGATGTCACTGCGATCCCGAGGCAGGAGTGCGGGAGAAGGAGGGAGCCAGGCCGCGCCGAGAGGCGGCTGCCAGGGCAGGGGAGGGGAATCTGGGAGCTGGGAGTGAGCCGGGTGTGGCCGTGAGGGCAGGAGCCTGAGAGAGGAGCTGGTTTTGAGTGCCACATGCCACAGAGGCCACACAAACAAGGGCGCGGAGCCGCGAGGGAGCGTTCGTGAGGGCCTTTGTGAGAAGTTCCAGGCGCGCGGCGGGAGCAGAAGCCAGGCTGCCGGGACGAGCGAAGAGGTTGGGGAAAGAATTCGTACTAATTCACATTTTGCAGAAGCAAAGGTGCCTACGAACGGAAAGCGACCGGAAACCTAGA